AGACAAAACCTTATGAATGGATGGATACTGGATTGAAGGATTCCAGAGTCATACCCAGGTCATCCCAGACAGGTCCCCAACTGGATGCTACCTGACCGGCTCCCAGCCTGCAAAAGGCTCTCACCTGCCTCGTTCCCACCACCTGGGGGACGGTCAGTCCTCGGCCATCTGGGAAGTGCAGGGGCGCTTGTCTCAGGCCTGCTCCCTCCCTCTCCTCCAGCCTTCATTTCCCGGGGCTCCTTTTCGCCCCCCAGCACCCCAGGATGACTGACAGATGGGAATATACACACAGAGGCTCACCCACTACCCACAGGGGTTGGCCTTTTCAGAATACTTGAAAGACAATCTCTCAACAACTCGTTTCCCTAAGTCTGAGGTATTTGGTTTGGAAAATCACCTTGAGGGAGGCTTTCACCAAGAATCCAAGCTGGCTGTAGCCACTGGGTCCACCTTTGTGGTTCCCTGTGAACAAGAAATGAAGTAAGGCTTCCAGTGATCTACTTGATCTGGCCCAGTCTCCATCATGAAATGTCTTATGACAAATGGTGAACAACAACACATATGACACAATTCCCACGAATAAAAAATACATTTTTAGAGATAAGAGTGCTATGGTCTGAATGGTTGTGTTCCCCCTGCAAACTCATATGTTGGAAGTCCTAATCCTGAAGGTGACAGTATTAGGAGGTGGGGCCTTTGGGAAGTGATTAGGTCATGAAGGTGCAGCCTTCATGGCTGGGATTAGTGCCCTTATAAAAGAGACCCCAGAGAGCTAGCTCACCCCTTCTGCCATGTGGGGACATGGTGAGAAGGTACCATCTAAGAAGCAGGAAGCCCTCATTGAACACCAAATCTGCCTGCACCGATCCTGGACCTCCACCGTCCAGAACTGTGAGACATAAATTTCTGTTTTTCTTAAGCTACTTAGTCTGTTATGTTTTGTTACAGCAACTCAAATGGACTAAGATAGAGTATTCTAAATACATAATGGCAAAGAAACATTTTTTTTCTAAAAGACAGCAAAAAATATTATGAAACAGGAGTAATTAAAAGAGGAATTGGTCAAAAAATGGACAGAAGACCTAAATAGACATTTCTCCAAAGAAGACATACAGATAGCCAACAGGCACATGAAAAGATGCTCAACATCACTAATTGTTAGATAAATGCAAATCAGTGAGGTATCAGCTCACACCAGTCAGAATGGCCATCATCAAAAAGTCTACAAATAATATCAATAAATGCTAGAGAGGGTGTGGAGAAAAGGGAACCCTCCTACACAGTTGGTGGGAATGTAAATTGGTGCAGCCACTATGGAGAACAGTATGGACTAAAAATAGAGTTGCCACATGATCCAGCAATCCCACTCCTGGGCATATATCCAGAGAAAACTCTAATTCAAAAAGATACAAGCACCCCAGTGTTCATAGTAGCACTGTTTACAATAGCCAAGACATGGAAACCACCTAAATGTCCATCAATAGATGAATGGATAAAGATGTGGTGTATATATATATATACACACACATACATACACACATTGGAATATTACTCAGCCATAAAAAAGAATGAAATAATGCCATTTGCAGCAACATGGATGGACCTAGAGATTACCATACTAAGTGAAGTCAGACAGAGAAAGACAAATATATGATATCGCTTATATGTGGAATCTAAAAAATGATACAAATGAACTTATTTACAAAACAGAAATAGACACACAAACATAGAAAACAAACTTATGGTTACCAAAGGGGAAGCGGGAGGGATAAATTAGGAGTTTGGGATATAGATATATACTGCTATTTATAAAATAAACAAGAAGGACCTACTGTATGGCACAGGGAACTATCTTCAACATAATAACCTATAATGGAAAAGAATATGAAAAAGAATATACACACACATATATTCAATATATATATCTGAATCACTTTGCTATATACCTGAAACTAATAGAACATTATAAATCAACTATACTTCAATTAAAAAAAAAAA